ACGAAACCATTTTACACATAATAGGGGAGAACAATACATAAATTGGGGGAATAACACAAGAAACTTAACAACACACTACAACAGTGCTCCATTGATATTTTGGTTTGGGATGATGTTTTCTGGCTCATGGCATAGCTGCACTCTGATAAAGTGTCTAAAGCCTGCAAGAGGCAGGGTAAGGATTTCCTTTGAGCTGTTTGCCATTTCCCCTCTCTCTGGCTGTCCTGAGGTGACTTTATGATGTTTGTATCCCCAGCTGTCTGTTCATGCTAGATGTGAAGTTCTGCACCTCTAAAACTGGTTCAGAGAGCAAAGGGAGAAAGAAGAAGCTCAGAGTTTGTTATCAGAAGCTGCACTTGCTCCCCAGCATGTGTTGGAGAGACTGTGTTGGCTGCAGCAGACAGCAGGAGAGAGCTCTCCTTTGCTTTTTAGTGAGTTTTTTTGCTAGCTAAGGCAGAGAAGTTCCCCAAACTGTGGTTTTTCTTTTTCTTAGAACTGTTCAAACCTGCTCTAGACTAAAAACCCAGAAAACCACCAAAAGCTCCCACGTGTAGCCCACTGTGCCTGAGATGCTGCATTCCAGCAGCACAGGGACTGATAACAGACTGAGCTGAGCTGCACCTCACAGAAAAGACTTTCCACATTTGTCTTGTCTTCAAAACAGCAAGAAGTTTGGTTGTTTTGTATTGTTCGTTTTTTATGCTAGTAAATACTTTACCTATTAAATAAACAGGGTTTCCCCACTTTTCTCCAAAGAAATCTTTTCCCAAGCCAATTAAAAGAAGAACCATTGAGATTTGCTTTCTAAAAAAAACCCCAATTCAAAAGTTTCCTCCAAAATTTGCCCTAAACCAGGACACTGGCTTCTCCTCTGATACTCTGACTGCAGTTAATCACTCTCTGATGGAGTTTACAAAAAAATATCCTGATTAATCTAAAAGAGTTTCATATTTTTTTCCTTAGATTATTTTGAGAAACAGCTGTACCACTGCACTTAGGTTGAAAAGGACATTATGATCCATATTGGGAGTAGTTATGCACAGCAACAGATAAAGGGAATAACTTCTTGACTTAACTGTAGTCAGAGAAGATAATCTGATCCACTCTGTAGGCTTAGAGATCATTTTCTAGTAGCTGAAAGAGATTTTCCCCTAAATATTTATTAAGATATGCTTGGGATACATTTAAAACACATCTGATGGATAAAATTCGGGATTAAGATCATGAAAAAGAGAAACAGTTTTTATTGACAAGACTGATATTAAACATGCCCGAGGAGGTGCTTTGTGTCCCATTCCAACTCTAAAAACACCTAAAATGGGCTCATTTACAGCGATTCTTTATTAGCTGTGCTTGTGCTGAGTGCAGTCAGTGCTTCAGTGGCTCCTCTGAGCAGTTTGCCAGGCCAGGGTGGTGTTTCCTGACTGCCTGGAGCTTGCTTAGAGTCCGCAAGGTGATGATTTGAATACATTGAATGGGAACTTGGTAAATATCTGTGTTTCATTTCATTTACATCATAAATGAGGAGAGAAATCTGAAGCAATGCATTTCTAATACACAAATATAATCAATGGTGTGCTGTGTGTTGTAGCTGTACTTGCCATTCCTCCTTGTTGATAGAAAAAAATCTGAAAACTAGAAGTTTTCTTTCTCTCCATTCCTGTGCCACTGCTAAGCCTCACAAAAGCCCTCTCCTGGTTTCCATAGAAATGGCCTGTCTGCTGATTTGAGGTAAAGGTTCACTTCCCTTTTTTCTTGTATATCTAAAGTCTGAGTTTCCTATGAGATTATTTTATCCTCTACATCCTTCATGTAACCCAGGTAGAGGGGCTGATGGAACAGGGGAAACTTCCTCTCCCAAGGAAAAAAATCCAGATTTATTTCACTGAAGAATAGAGAGAAAAGGCTTGTGTGTGTCACATGTGCATTTCTGTGGATGTGAACAGAACCAGCTCTGTGTGTGCATGTTCCACAATGTGCTCTTGCTCCTATGATGTCCCTGTGATCCCACTGGAACATCAGTGAGCAGATTTAGGAGATCCTGAGTTAAAGCCGAGCAGATGTAGGCTCAATTTCTCATCAGGCTGAGTTTTATAATTATTTATGTACACAAGATTTTCTGTTTACAGTTTGTTTGCATTAGAATACACCCATTTCTTTGAGCCATATGATAGGGAGATGGCTAGAAAATATATTGGGGAACCACCCACAAAATGTTTACAGTAAGGTCTTAATCTATGTTACAGCATTTCTTCCTAGTTTAATTTGAGACATTTATGTCTACAAAGATAAAATTCAGAATTTAGTTCTGATGAGTGTTATCCTTCTAACTGCCAACAGAACTGCTTTCATGGAGTTACTCTAACAGAGTTGTTTTAAAATAAATGAAGAATCATGAGGCATATCCTCAAATTTGCTATCCAGTGTTTTGAATCCAGATGCTGAGAGCTTTGACAAGTTCTGTCCATGGCGTTCAGTGCATTATCGATGATCATTGACACAAAGAAAAGCAGAATTTATTCTGCTGTTTCTGAGAGCAAGAGTTTGATGTTGCTGAAATATGTGGTGCATGATTTTCATAATGCTGTTTTCTGTTTGTGTTCTGCTTTTCTCCCTTTTTATCACCTTTGCTCCCCTTGACATTTTCAGGAATATTAAATCTTCCCAATAGAGCTGTTTACTTCTATACTAGCAAAAAGGTCATCTTAAGAAATTCCAAAGAACAGTACAACTGAAGGGCTTGGGGATTTTTTTAGTGCTTTGGGTTTTCTTTGCTTTTGCCAGACTCATCAGTTGTCTCTCAGATACCATTGCTACCTTCTCACCTGCCAACATGGAGCAGTAATTAAAGCAAACCCCACTGTGATCATTCCTTAATTTGTGTTAATTTGTAACATTTCTTTTCATTGAACATTTCATCTGCAGGTGACAGCTTCAAAATACCCTCTCAGCTACTTTGGGAGAGTTGTTGTCTTCAGCCCCAAATAAGCATCAGGGATAGAATCAGTGGCCTGAGACTGTTCCTGTTTCACTTCCAATCTTTAAAGACATCAAGCAAATTCTTTATTTGCTTTTTGGTGATTTGCTTGTAGTAACAGTTCTGTTTCCATTTCATTTGTACTTGGATTTTTGAGCAATATCTGCAGTCCTAGAAGACTGAGGTAATACTTGTCTTCCAAATTTTCTGGCATTTCCTAATGTGCATGAGAAATTGCATTTTTTACAGTGGAACAAATCTTGGCAGGTTTGGTATATCTGTAACTATTGCTTGAATACAATTCCATAGGACAGAGATGTTCTGTGTTATTTAATTAAATGCACAGTATGTTGGTATAGCAACATTATGGTCCTTGAGCATTTAAAAGTGTTTTAAATGGTTTTGCTGTTTTCAAAAAGTAGCATCCTTCTCAGTCCATTTAAGTGTAAATATTTATTAACATCTACAGTTTCCTCTAATCATATAAATGGAACAAACCAATCACACCCAGATGGTTAGATCTGATGCAATAGGACTCTATTTTATAATCAGTTCTCTTTGTTTTTTGTGGACATGGATGATCAGACTAGAACTACCTGTACTGAATCTTCAGCTGGATCATTCTTTGTGTCAGTGTCTGAAGCAAATTACCTGCTAGCAAAGATACCAAAAAATGAATCTTAGCAGCACAAAGTCCCTGAGATTTTTGCAATAATTAAAATATTTTGCTTATAGGCTCAGATTTCCTGCTGAGAAATCAGCACTCTGAAGGCAGATAAATGAAAATGGTTCCTTGGGAAGCTGAGTTTCCAAGGTGAGGGGTGGCAGTGGTGGAGAAATCCATTCTTGCTTTTCCTTTTTTTCCTGTTTTGGTTTTTTCCCTCTGTTCATTCTGAAACTATGACTTGATGAATGTCATTAGGCTGTAATCCATTTATTGCATGTGGTGGTGGGAACAGAGAATTTGACAGTTCATTTGGGCTGAGTGATCCAGAGTCACTCTGAGCTGAGCCCCCGCTGCCATCAAACTGCGAGATTTTCTTCTTGATCATTTTTCTCTCTTTTGCTCGGCGATTCTGGAACCAGATTTTCACCTGGGGCATTATAAATGACACCTGATTAATTCAAAGTGCTGCTCAACTTTTTACAGTAATCATAGCAATGGAAATGTAGGTAGGTTCAAAAACAGTATTTAAAAAACACAAAACCCAAAGCAAACAAACAAAAAGCCATGAGGAAGAAAAGCCCCAAAGTTAAAACCAAACCAAAAAAACCTCCACAAACAAAATACTGAATTTGTGCAGTGAAAAGTTTTTGCATTGTTCTGTATTAATTTTTGGCATAATAACCAATGGAAAATTGATTTTTTCTTTTTTGATTTCTGGTTTTTTTCTTGGGCCTTTGGTGCAAAGCGAACACACAGTGTTATATTTAGGAACACAAATCAATGAACTCATTGACACTCAGGCCACAGAGTTCATCATTTCAGCTTTGCCAGTGTCATAATTTATGAAGATGCAATTATGGATTAATTGTGAAGATTTCTTTATTATCTATGTTACAGATTAATTCAAAGCCAAGTAGTGAGGGTTCTTTTTCTTCATTTATGTTGTGAGTGATTTTTGTGTGTATATATATTCTTATGTATTTAGAAGTTTTGACTGTTTTTATTACTGGAATATGTATTTAAACATGTATTTTGCAGATACATATGTACTGTTATGTGTGTAAATAGATATATCAGCATTACTTAAAGCCAATCAATTTCCCAGGCTCATTGTGCAGGTGAAAAACTTACCTGTTTAAAATCTACTTTAAGGATCTCTATTTTCTTTCCTTATGTGAAAGTGTGAATGAGGAGGAACTTCTGTTTGAGTTTTTCTGCTTGCTGTGTTCTTAATTCACAGCATTTGTTACAGCCTTTGAGGTGTGTTGAATACAACACAATATAGAAAGTTGTACCCTTGCTTTTTATTAAAAATCTCAGTGATTTATATTTATTTTTACTACCCTGCTGGTATTGGCATGAAGAAGCATTTAGCTTTGTGTGTCCTGTGGAAATGCTGATCTGTAATGTATTTTGTCTCTATTATACTTGAAGGAACTTTCCAGGTAAAAAGGGGTGGCATTAGGGGCAGCAGCTCTGTAAAAGGAAACTGCTGATTTTCTGCAGGCTCACTGGGGACTCCAGGCATGTCTGTGTTCTAAATCAGCAGAACATTAAAGTGGAGGTTGCAAATCTCTCATAATTGCAGTTCTCTGAAAATTTCCCAGTGCAGCTCTGTCCTACTGTGTGACAAACTTAGTTCATCCATGATAAACTTGTTTTTTGTTGTTCCTGCCTGGGGGCACTCACTGTCTGTGCAGTGCACTCTGCACTATTTGGATCTGGGCACTAAAATATGTTTATAAAATCCCAGTGCTTGATGCTAATACACCACTGATTGTCTCTGCATTCCTATACTTCCAGCCTCCATTGGTGCCTCTCCATTCCATGCTTTTCCACAGACTGAGTGCAGAATCAGAGAAGGCACTGAAAGAGGAACATTTTCAGAGACCTGAATGTGTATATTTAGAAAGAACAAAAGCTTGTAAAATTCAAAGAAGAAAGATCTCTAGTTAATATTTACCTCAGGGCAATGATCTGGTTTTTAAATGAGATGACTAATTCAGTATCACCAAATCTGCCCTTCTCCTCCAGCTGTAGCAGAACCTTTGCAATTCTGGAGGCCTGGATCCAGCACTTACTATTTCCACACACTGCAGAGCTGTGCTTCAGAGAANTGCCCCTTCCCGCCCCTCAGGTGCGCGAGCGGCTCCTCAGGGGAGATTTAATTTGGTGCTTATGTGGAAGCCGGGAAAAAAACCTCACTGGATTTTCATTTTTTCCAAAAAAAAAACCCCACAAAAAACTCAAATCACCCCTGAACTTCGGCGTACAAGGTGCCTGAATATCTGTACTGTTATTAGCGCATTTATCACTCGTCCGCGCGCCTCCCTCAGGTGCGCTCGTGCCCTTTCCCGCCTCTCAGGTGCATGAGGGCCGGCTCCTGAGGGAAGGCGGGGGCAGCCGCTGATCCTCCTTTATTTGAACCTCTTTTCCAGGAGTGTTTCTGTGACGGTTTTGATAAAAACAGCCAGGTAGCGCTTTCCGCTCTCTCCCTCCTGTTTTTGCCAGCTGTGTCGCTCCCCGGGGCGCCTGAGGTGAAGATGAGGGAGGGCGGGGGTTGTGGAGTTTTCCCGGAGTTTTGGGGTTTGTTGGTGGGTTTGAAATGTGAGTTACGTGCAGCGTGATGGGGTGGTGAGAGGGGAGGAAAATCCACATAGGAACAGCAAAACTTGGGGAAAAAAAAATCTCTTAGAATACTTCAGGGGAATGCCCCCATCAGCACACAGGTGTAAGCTATTATTGAGGTAATAAACGCTTAATTACTCACCTACTACAAATGGAAAATAATTTAAAAACGATTGGTGTTTGTCATTGCAACAGAAGAATGAAAAACGGAATTATGAGGGGGGTTGATCCTTCTTAGTGTTAGCGTAGCTCCTATGAATTGTTGGCTCTGGTGTGTGTACAAATCAGAATTCCTGACCTGCAGGTACTCTAAGAAATGAGCTCACCTCCTCCTGCATGAGGTAAAAATGGGTCTGTATCCCCGTCTGTCGTTTCCAGGAAACTACTTCCCTCATGAATCATCTTTATTGTTTTTCAGGAGTTTCTAGACTGCAGAAAAAATGCAGATGACTCGACAGTGAAAATTTTTGTTGTCTCCAAAAGTAACATTTTATGAGCTACAGTTTTATCACTGCTGCGTGCTCCTACTTCACCACATTATTCATCTTATGTGGAGCTGCAGGTAAATAGTATTATAAGCTAGAGAAAAAAATTAAGAGGCAAATTGTTATAAAAGAAAATTTTGTTCTCCTATTTTTGTCAAAATACCTTTTTCTTATTTAGTGTTGAACATTGCAGTAAATTGCAGGGAAGGTAAGTAATTGACCAAATACTGAAAATGCATCTGTTTAGAAAGATTATAGAAACAGAGAAAATTGTTCTGTACTTAAGGATCTGATATTTTTTTTCTGCTGATCTTCATCTTTATATAGATTCATACCAATGAAAATAAAGTGTTGAAACAACTGAAATAAAGTTATATATAGGGGTATTAATAAGATACTGGTCTTTATTATTTTACTGTCAGTTAAATTCTGGATGTTTGCCTTAACTGGTGTGGAAACCAAAAAGGTGAGTGTTGTAACTGAGAGCACTGGAGGAAATGATAGTTCTGGTGCTGTGCATTTACATTGTGGGCTTTAATTTCCAGTTGAGGTTGTTTTGGTAGATGGCTGCTCTGCTGACCTGTCTGTGGGAAAGGCCATCCAACCACACAATGGGCTGGCTGAAAGGGGACTGACTTAAAGCCATGGGCAGGGACACCTTCCACTCTCCAGGCTGCTCCAAGCCCTGTCCAGCCTGGCTTTGGACACACCAAGGCTTGCATGTGTTCAGTGTTTTTCCAATAAAATTGTCTTGAAATTTTCACAAGGATGGAGGAAGAGCAAAGGACAAGCAGAATGTGTGCTGGAAAGTGAAATAAATCCCATGGACTTGTCTGCAAGGGTGTTCAGCTGTCACATTCAGTGTGACAGTGGTGACACTCAGGTGTTAGCACAAGGTGTGGCAAACAGGAACACATTCAGCACAGTCTTGTGTTTAATTGAAAAACCTCCATTTAATGCAAGCTGGGTTTTGATTTAATAAAGCAATGTTACAGACATTTCAATGGACCTTGTGCCAGAAGGACACAGGTGATGTGGCACTAAGCTCCAAAGCAGGTGGTACAATGTCTTGCTGAATTGAGTGTAAAATGAAGCATCACTGTGTGGCCTCTTTATAATGAGGCTCTGAGGTGTTAACAAACCAAGAAAAAAGTGTTTTTAATTGGAAAAGGTACTTTGCTATAGCAGCTTCATATTTAACAACTAGATTGAAGTCAAAGTTCAGCTGAAGTTGCAGTAGTTTTTTTTTTATGTGTGTGTTCTCTCCCCTAGGAACAATGACCATCAACTATTTTAGAAAAAACACCTTTTGTGTCCCATGTCTGTATTTAAAGAATGTCTGTTTAGTATTGGGTTTGAGAAGTAAATACTACAGGGAATTTTTTCACCATGACTTACAAACTTTATGGCTTCAAAGGAAGAAATAGAAGCTTCATTTTCAGTGCTTCCTTAGGATGCTGTTTATTTGATGAAACTATTATGCCATAAAACCAGAAAGATTTGTGAAGGATGATGGTCTCTGGCAATGTTTATCCACACAAATCACTTCTTTTCTTGGAATCAGAAGTGTTCTTACACAGAACATGAAACACAAAGAGCAGAAATCCAGGAGTTAAACCAAAGCACAGGGTTAAATAAAGGCACTGTTGGGAGCACGTGGAAAGGGAATACTAATGTGAGCTTGAGAGATTCTGAGTCTTCTTCCAGTGTCCTTTCCAAATCACCCCACACAGGCATTCTTCAGGAGGAGGAACATACAAGTGATGTCAGGTTGGCTCTCAGAATCCCTCATTTCAGACAGGAAATGTTGCATAATGGGAATTACTCTTGGAACATGTATTGTAAGTCTGGTGGACAAGCCCTCATTAACAAATGCAAACTAACCCTCATTAACTAATGCAAACTCTATCCCAAGGTGATTTGCATCTCTCTGCAAGTTCCTGTTATTTTGTTCAGAAGTACAAATGTGGGTATATTCATTTTTTTGAAGAAAGGCAAGCCAGGAGTTGTGTGTGAGGTTCTGTGAAACTGATTGTGTGATACAAATATATTCTAATGTCTGGAAGGGTTTTAGCTTTGTGCAGGGGTCTGCAGCTCTGTGCTGCCTATGCTGAAAATACCTGATGCAGATTAAATTTCAAAAGTAATTTAAGTTTCAAGAGGTTGTCATATTTTTTTTGGTTTTTGTTCAGTTTTTTTGGGCCAGGATGACCACTCCAAACAGCCAATTAGAGGTTTAAATTATTCTGTCTTTGTAAACTGATATAGTAAATATCTTATAATGAGCTACTTTCCCATTTCTAGTCTAAGCTAT